ATAGATCCTTTGCGTGTAATTTTACACGTTCGGAAAATTTACACGCCAAAAACGGTATAAATGATTTATACGCCAAATTGGGGTGTAAAAAATTTACACTTTTTTGTGTAAATTCTGGCGTGTAAATTTTGTCCTATTTTGTTCCATGGGCCAAGCTGTGCCGAAAAGGTGTTTTGAAAAACAGGCACTAGGAAGTGCGACGTGTCGAAAAAGTAGTGGATTCCGAATGCCGGGCAGGCCGACGTGGCGATAGATTCGTATAGATTCCGATAGCGAGATTTGCCGACAGAGACAACATGTACAGTTGTGACTCCGAAGGCCGACATGGCTTCTCTTGTTTCGGTGAAAAAAAAAAAGAAAAAAAGAGAAAGAGAGAGCCAGAGAGCGAGAGTATATCCTCTAAACCACAGGAGAGCTCCTGAAATCAGTTCTTGCTTGTGTGACTTGTGCATGATTGTCCGTGAGACAGTATCACCTACCCCCCGCCATACATCACTGCAGGGCCACTGGCCTGCGGCTTGAGGGCAAGTCCCTGCACCATTCCACGGACCCAAGTGCGATGACGGCCACCGAGGTCCGGGAGTCCTTGGCCAGAGTTCGGCGATTCCGCGGGCTATTCCACCGTTTGTCGCTGGCAAACAGTGTGTGGAGTCACGTGCTAAGCAACCTGCTCAGAGAAATGCCTGGGGAAGCCGCGAGTTCCTTCTCGGCCACTCTTCGCGAGGTCCACAAAGGGGTCATCTCAAAGCAACGGGCTTTCGGGGGCGGCACAACCCGGAAGCACGACCCCTGAGGAAGGTGCACACCCCTCAGGCATGGCGGATCCACCCTGGCCGAGTGGAGGTGAGACTTACACTGGTGTTTGCAAAGACCACGGGGGAGGCCACACATCTAAACAGCATGGCTTGTCTTGTTTTGAAAAAAAGAGAAAGAGACAGCCAGAGAGCGAGAGAGCGAGGTATATATCGGGCAGGGCTATAGGGGTCCCCTGTTCCTTTCTTGGTGTTACACCGAGTTAGGGCAGGGGAACCCTATAGCACTTGGCAGGATGCAGTTTTATTATATGTATCCTAGACCGCAGAGCTCCTGAAATCCATTCTTGCTTGTGTGACTTGTGCATGATTGTCTGAGACAGTATCACCTACCCCCTGCCATACATCACTGCAGGGCCACTGGCCTGCGGCTTGAGGGCAAGTCCCTGCACCACTCCTCGACCGGCAAGTCTGGATGCAGTTCCAGACGGTAGCACTCGACCTCCTCCAGGAACCGGCTCACGGAGGTCAGCTGCTAGAGGCCAAACAGGCCAAGAAAGCGGTCGTCCACAAGGGGATCATGAAGGAGGAGGAAGCAGACAAGCTTCCGTGCGGGCTTTCGGGGGCGGCAAAACCGGAAGCACACACTCCTGTGACCTTGTGGAAGGAAGGTGCACACCCCTCAGGCATGGCGGATCCACCCTGGCCGAGTGGAGGTGAGACTTATACACTGGTGTTTGCAAAGACCCCGGGGGAGGCCATCTAAAGCCGGAAGGCATTGCGAGCGCACTTGTGATTTTCATGCCGGGCCGTGTGTCTCTTCTCAAGCCCGCCCCTGTCCCTTTCTTGGTGTTACACCGAGTCAGGGCAGGGGTGGGTCTCTCGCACTCAGCAGAGGACATCCTTTTTTGCACTTATTACGGGCTGCCGGGCCGTGTGTCTCTTCTCAAGCCCGCCCCTGTCCCTTTCTTGGTGTTACACCGAGTCAGGGCAGGGGTGGGTCTCTCGCACTCAGCAGAGAGGACATCCTTTTCTGCACTTATTACGAACATATAATATGGATGTTTTTTTCTGGTTTAGGATATATATATATATATGTATATATGTCGGGTTGTCGATACATATATATATATATAGGGTGATTGAGAGACGAGCAGAACAAGTTCACAATCCTGTATCGTTGATAGATGCACAGTGTGCTTTGATGTGACCGCCCTGGATGGCCGGCTATGGTGTGGTGGCAGGACTTGCTCGAACAGTGAATGTGCTCCCGGGTTTGGTGATCTTTTCATCTTTGTGTGGCAGGACAGGCAAGCCGAAGATCTGCGGAGCTCCTCGTGGTCCTGGCAAACATTCTCGGTCTTTTCGTGGCAGGACCTCCGAGAGAGAGAGAGAGAGAGAGAGAGAGAGAGAGAGAGAGAGAGAGATGGAGAGAGATGAAGAGAGATGGGGAGAGAGAGAGAGAGATGAAGAGAGATGGGGAGAGAGAGAGAGAGAGAGAAAGACTGAGAAAAACAGAGAGAGAGAGAGAGAGAGAGAGAGAGAGAGAGAGAGAGAGAGAGAGAGAGAGAGAGAGAGAGAGAGAGAGAGAGAGAGAGAGAGACAGAGACAGAGTTGCTTGTGTGCTCACAAGACCGGATGCCAAAGCATGTTCACACATGTGCCTGTGTGTGTGGCTTCGCGAATCAGCGGCAGCTTTTTTTTGGTGTGCAACCGTCGGACGGGTTGCGAAAGCATGTTATATTGACAGGTTTTCACAGACATGTGACATGTGGTAGCATAAGCAGCTTTACTTTCTTTTTGTGCCCGCCTGTCCCTTTCTTGGTGTTACACCGAGTTAGGGCAGGCATCTATAAGATGGTTAGCGAATGTATGTTATTGTTATATAGCTTAGATGTGTTTTTAATTGTAGATTTTGTTTGTGTGGGCACCTTTTATATATAGATCTAAATTCGTAGCTCCTCGCCGTGGAGCCGGCCAGCGGGAGTGTGAAGAAGTTGGACAAGACGGCCCTGGAGGGGCTCGATGCCCGCACCGAGAGCACGAAAGTGCCGGAAGATGTTCTGATGGAGGAGCCAGACCCTCCGTCCGACAACGAGACCATGAGCACCGCAAAGCGGTCCAACAGCAAGCCGGAACATGGAAGAGGCCCTCTGCGTGAGGCGAAACAGGCCAAGAAAGCTTTGATCCACAAGTCATCTCGAAGGAGGAAGCAGACAAGCTGCCCGTCGAGGAGATTTTGGAGATGGTGAAGAAGTACCGCAAAGGGCAGCGGCAACCTGACGGAGGCTGTCTTGGAGCAGCTGGCGGAGAACCAGAAGGAGGACCTCTTCAAGAAATTGTTTGCAGAGTTTCAAGAGAGCCCGGGCATGAACATGCCAACGATCACGGACGAGCAGGTGGAGCAGGCGGACAAGGAACTCACTTCCTTGTTCATGTACCAGAAGTGTCCCTTTTCCGACAAAATTGTGGACGAGTGGCACGTGAAGAATAAGGACCACAAGAGTTACATGAGGGAGCACCTCAGGTCGTCGTACCTCCTCACGGACCCAACAGCGATGACGGCCACCGAGGTGAGGGAGTCCTTCGCGAGAGTTCGGCGATTCGGCGGGGGATTGCACCGTTTGTCGCTGGCAAACAGTGTGGAGTACTGGGGCGATGTGGAGAAGCTTCCGTCCTTGGTGCGGAGCATCCATGCCACCAAGGCGATGCAAATCAAATACGGCACGTCCAAGACCGCGAAAACGCACCTCCTGACAAAGGACCAGGTGGGCTTGTGGGTAAAAAGGAGAACCAATAAAAAATAACGATAAGGTTTATAGAATTTTTATAGAATAGTATAGGAAGAGTGACCACAGAGGGGGTTTGGACACGAGTCCAGGTGGCCAAGTACCATCTGGCCTGGGTGAGCTATGCCCCGACGTCCGGCAAGTACACGAATGCCTCGTACTCCAAGGACCACCTGAAGCTCCACACCGACCTCCAAAGGCCTAAACTTTTTAAACCCTGTAAACCCTCTCTATAACCCCTCTAAAAACCCTATATACCCTCTAAACCCTCTAAACCCTAAACCATAAACCATAAACCCTAAACCGTGGCCCTGAGGAACCCGCAGATGGTCTTCGAGAGCCCCGAGCCCGAGAGTAGCTGGTGGCCTGTGGTCCTGCTCCAGAGGCCTGAGGATCCCGAGTTCGAGAACTTGGCGAACATCGCGGGCACCCAGACCATCCTGATCATTTGCTGGTACCAGATCATGGAGGACGGCTTCTGGGTCTGGGTGATGACCGTCGAGGCGATGTGAAGCACTCGTCATTGCCATTTTGAGCTACCACACAAACTCCCCTGTTCCTTTCTTGGTGTTACACCGAGTCAGGGCAGGGGAGGGAGTGTGGGAGCCCCCTGTCCGTTTCTTGGTGTGAGTTGTGTGGATGTTATTTATTAGTTATAATGAGCTCCCACACAAACTCCCCTGTTCCTTTCTTGGTGTTACACCGAGTCAGGGCAGGGGAGGGGGTGTGGGAGCAGGGAGGCAGTATCATAGGGGTTGACATATATTTATTACTTATAATGAGCTCCCACACAAACTCCCCTGTTCCTTTCTTGGTGTTACACCGAGTCAGGGCAGGGGAGGGGGTGTGGGAGCAGGGAGGCAGTATCATAGGGGTTGACATATATTTATTACTTATAACTATTTGCCACCAAACACAGAACATGGATAGTCACACCGAGTTATATAAGGCAGGGGGGGCCAGGCACGGCCATCGCACACAGGTGTAGCATCTTCTGCACCCCGAAAAAAGCCTCTGTGTGGCTCGGGCTGCCGTCTTGCTTCTCTGTTTCACCTGTGACTCACGGCCTTGTGCCTTCGCAAAAATCTCTATGCAGGGCGGCAGCTACATGCGTGTTTGATGGACGTGGTGTTGCAAATGTGGTGGTACGGCTGATAACATCGATTTGTTCTTTGTGCTTTTGCTGCCGCAGGAAATCCTTCGATGCCTGTGGGACATCATCTGCAAGCAGCAAGCCTCCGCCAAGGCTCGCGGGCAACTCGAGACATGTGTTTTTGAAATGATGCTCTGCGAAACGGACTAATGCGAATCCTTGTTCAATTTCTAAGGTGTCCTATACGAGCTGTCAAGCAAGGACCGTGTGAAAGGCAAGAGAAGGGTGCAACGCTACGCTCCCTCGACTCTAGGGGGCATGCTACGCATCCCTCATCTTTACCTTTCTATGTGACCGCCAACTCAACGTTTGGCTCAAGTCAATGCCCATAGCTAAGTGCTATATGTGTCTTCTATCCTGAGCAATCAGAGCTATCCCGTTGCACAGACGAACCGCCGCCGGCAGTGAGTGCAAAAGGAACGGCCGCCGGTTCTGCCTGCATAGGAACGCACGTGTGGGAGTAAGAGGGAGAGACAGGGTCCAGTCTGTGGAGAGTGCTAGCCAGCCACACCTACATTCATTACAGCTCTGGTGGGGAGAGCAGCAACCAAGTCGAGATCAATCCCCCACGCCGGTTATCAGCCGTACGCGGCTCTGCCTTTCTACAGCAACGACTACTTGATCTACTACGACCACAATGAACTCAGGATCAAGCCAAGATACGACAATGACTTTCGGTGCCGATGTGGCAGCGCCAGCCGTTGGTGAATCAACAGCTGACGACACAGTGGTGCAATCCGTTGATAGCTCCACGGAAGATGACAAAGGTCAATCTTCTGCGCTTGCCATTGCAAAGGCAGTTCCCAAGGGGAAAGCAAAGAGTCTACCAAGAGCATCTACGCCTTCACGTCCGACATCCACAGGTCCGAGGACGGGCAAGGCTTCAGAACGACGGGCCGAAGCGTCTGGTTTTCAGGCACCTCGGACTACGTCCAGGGCCAAGGACAAAGGAGTCAAGACCTTGGAAAAGAAGTCAAGACCATCATCTTCGAGAAGCTCTTCAGCACGATCGAGGACTTCGGCTACTCGCGGACGTGACAAGTCCATGACTTGGAATCGGATGGTTACCAATCAACCACGCGATACTGACGATCTGGACATGACTCTGGATACGATTCCTGCACTTGGTGATGCGTCATCCGTGGCCACGCCTGCAATAGCTGACGGTCCGAATGCCTACCAGGAACTGACGATTTCGCAACAGTTCTAAGCATCGAACCTTGCACAGCAGATGTACTATCGCAGTCAGGTGCAAGAATACGAAGGAATCGTCCAGACCCTGATGGACAAGATCAAGGAGATGCAACAAGAAGATGAAGGATCTGGAATTCGCATTGAGGAATTGGAACGACAACGTGATCATGCATGCTTAGCCATGAGGCACATCAAGAATGTCAATCAGGAGATGAAGCGAGACTATGAAACAGCTTTGTTTCGCATGGATGAGCAGAACTCTGCTCAACAACGTCAAGCACATGCCGTTGCCGAGGATTTAGCTCAGCAGCTACACGTGTTCCGCACGGAGGCAGCCACCAACTTTGTGCAGTTGGAGGCAAGAGCGCAAGGTGATGGTGAGCTTATGGCACGTGAGTATGAGCGTCTTACTCATGAACTTCATGAACACGCCAGAGAGAACTTGGTCCTCCGGTCAAACACAGCAAGTTCGGAACAAGCCTTACAAGCAATGCAGGAACGATTCCACTTGGTCAAGAACCAGGAGTTGCGGGCTGTGAACGAGATCCACGGGCTAGCTGGAAACAGCGCAGCCATTGAACAAGAACGATTTCGGCTTCGCGAACGTCTTGGTGAAGAGGAAGAGTACCGCAAAATGGCTGTGAAGAGGATGCAAGAAGCAGAGGATCGACTTCATCATAATGAAGATCACGCAAGGCGATCATTGCCTACCTTGCACGACGAGCTGAGTGAACTCAGGAAAACGCTCAAAGCACAAGAAGATCTTAAAGCGAGGACACGCAGCGAATTGGAGGCAGCGCGAAACTCCAATCAAGGAGGAGCGACGCGACCTTCGAGCATGCCCATGTCTTCGAGGACTACTGAGTCTGGCTGGGAGCACGTAGGAAAGGAAGTAATGCCTGCATTTTCCGTAGGAGAGGAGGTACGATCCCCTGAAATACGGTCCCCAAGTCAAGTTAGTCCAGTCGCCAAAGAGAAGTTCGCATTCTCGGAATCGGACAAGGACAAGAACCTTGTGATGGATGGAATTCCATTCACCGTTGGAAACTTCTTCACTGGCCGCAGTTCAATGCCAATCGTGGCGGATGCAATGCCCGAGCACTACGTGCCAGGTATTAGCAGCCCAGCACTTGCGCGTTCCACACCTAGTGCAGCCACTTTGTTCGGCATACCAAGCGGATTTCATGGGAAAAGTGATGCGGCAGCCGTGCGTGATCGACAGCTACGCGAACTCTTGGGGGATCGCGGGATGTTGGGATCGAAGTCCACAGCATCGGCCAGCTCCTCAAGACCTGTTGGCATCGACGGTGTCACCGCATCTACTAAGGGCAACGACCTCATCGGTCCCCCTGTCGCCTATGACGATTCCATCCATGAGGCAAGGAGGCGTCAGATCGAGAAAGAGATCGCGGAACAGTACGAGGAGAAGATTTCTGATCTGCGTAGTGAAGTACTCAAGGCTCAGAAAGCCGAACAACGTCTCAGAGCTGATCGTGATGAGTGGAGATTATTCGCTGAAACGATTCAGGAAAACAATGGAGACGCTGACGGTGATGAAGCTGGCGACGAGAACGGAGAGGAAGAGCATGATGAAGGTACCGGCACGGGGTATGATCCTCCAGATCCGCCTGATGATGATGATGACAAGAAGAAAGGCGGAGGGGGCAAACCCGAATCGGATCCTGGTTCGCACGCGCGTGATCCTGATGGAGACGCGGATCCTGAAGTCACAGAGGTGAGAATTTCCAGGAGGGAAGCCGACAAAGTTACTGTTCCTCCATGGCCTACTCTCACTCATCTCAACAACTGGCGATCCGTGTGCACGGCCAATGTCTTAGGGGCATCAGCCGACCCACATCATGAGGACTGGATGTTATGGCTGGCACCAGCGTTCAACCCATTCCCTGATGTCGAAGCATTGAATGATTCAGGACACAAGAAGTTCAAGAGCATAGACGTCAAATTTGGGATCGCCATGGTCGCAATGCTACGTGCCGGTGGTGACAAATCAGCTGACCTGTACCTCGAGGTGAACCGGAAGGCCAACGATTACATCAGCAGGCCTGACGTGAAGATCATCAAAGGACGACAAGTCATCGCGATGATGTACGAAAGTTTTCGAACGCATGATCGTCTCGACATGATCATCACTCTTGAGTATTTGGTGAAGCTCCAGTACCAAGGCGACAACAAGCTTCATACGTTCAAGCAGACGTGGTTGGAAGTTCTGGGACGGATGAGACCAGAGGACATTCCATCCAAAACAGCTCTCCGTGATTGCTTGTACAGTAAGATCAAGGACTCGCCCGCAATGAAAATGGACTTGGGCATGCATTACGAACACTTGCCCTACAATCATGAAGATCGATCGTACGACAACCTGATGAAGATCATCGATCGTACCATCATGCGGAGGCGAGAACAGTCCAATCTCACTCAGACTCAAATTGGCTTGCGCCAGATGCTTGAGGGCAAGGATTTGCTTGCTGCACCGGCCAAGGTACCTGAGAAACCTACGCCTAACGCAGCTCCATCCGCAAAGGTCAAGGCTTCGCCGACCAATCCGGACAAAGCAACACCTGTACTACCTCAAAGCAAAGCGAAGAGTCATGCGAAGACCAAGCCGAAGCCCAAGAAGAAGACGAGGAGTGAGTCAGCGGACAACAGAGGTGACAAAAGCAAGAAGCAAATCCGCTGCAAGTTCCATTTCACGGATGCAGGGTGTCGAAATGGCGATAAGTGTCCATTCAGTCACTCGAAGAAGACTCCAGAGCGACCCTTCACGCCGAGGACGAGAACTCCAAGTCCATCTGGAGGAGGAGAAAACAGGATATGCTACTCGTTCAAGAACACAGGCTCGTGCTCAAGAGAGAATTGTCCTTTCAAGCA